TTACTCTCTTAGTCATTTCTTTCTAGTGTTGCTGTTCTGCTATTCTTCTCATGATCTTTTGAATATAGAGTTCTACCAGGACCTTCTGTCAAGGCTTCAGTTTGTTTTCTCTGTTCTTGGTGATATTGGTTACACCTTCTTCTGATCTCCTAATCTCTGTACCACTTGTTTAGACACTTTCTTTTACTGCTTTATATTATTATCTAATATTTAAGGGAATACATTTTATTTCTTTAAGAAAACTTTCAAAAATTGTTTTAGTCATCTTTATTACTCCCTTTAAGGCTTTTAGTAGTTCATCCATGTACTCAGATCCCGTTGCCTTTTTTTTTTTTTTTTTTTTTTTTTTTTTTTTTTTTTTTTTTTTTTTTTTTTAGTTTTTGCTATAGGGCACATGTGCTCACCAGAGAGAAACAGAGTGAGAGAGAGAGAGAGAGACAAAGAGAAAGTAAGAAAGTACCCTCCCCAGTGGTACCACACCAGAATCCTTTATCCTCCATTCTCCTCTTGAGATTTTTGGCATGCATGCACACATACCCAGCGTGTTTTCTAATGGCTGGTTCTGGGACTTGAATTGTGCCACTGGTCATGTGGTATGCAACCACCTTAACCCCCATGCAACCAGTTGACCTCCCGCTGCATTTTCTATTTCCTTTTGAACATATTTTTTTTCTATTACCAGGTACTACTGTTCCTTGAAATGTTCTATATCTAATGAAATAATACTGTCACATTTAGCAAATAAAAAATATACAGTACCTAGTTACATTTTTAATTTCAGGTAAATGTCGAACAATATTTTTACATCCTAAATATTATGTTGGATACACTTACATTAAAAATAGTATCCATTGTTTAGCCAAAATTCAAGTGCATCTTATATTTTACCTGGTAATAATAAATTGAAAGTTTACTTTCCTTTCATTTCAACCTCCCATTAAAAAAAGTAGAAAAATTGGTAGGTAGTGTCCTTGAAAATGTTTCATTCATTTAATTGACTAAAAGTTCTTTGGTGTCTACTATATTCTAAATTGAATTTTGCTACTCTCTTGGTCTGCTCTTTTCCTTCTTTCAAGTTTTAGTGATATCAAGTTGCTATGGCCCTTGGGCTCTATACTTGAATCATTTTTAGCTTTTAGTCATTTCTAGTCCAGTTGCTGAGTCCTAGTTGGTCTCTCTGTGTGTCTCTCTAATGCCTTCTTTTTAAAAAAGAATTATTTAATCATATTTATTATCATTTAATTTGATCAGAAAGAGAGAGAGAGAGAGAGAGAGAGAAAAAGCAAGCTGCTAGGTCTGGCACTCAAACTGTGGTTAGTTATATGGGAGTCCAGCACCTTAACCACTATGCCACCTGTTGGCCCTCATATCTTCTTTTCTCCGTTCTTTTATTTATTTTGGTTTGTGTATTTGTTTTATTTTTTCTGTTTTGTTGGGAGTTTATCTTGTTTATGGTAGAGTGCTTACATAGGCATGTGTAAGACATGAGAGAGAGAGATAGACAAAGACTTTACAAGATGACTCCTAAATTGTGTCTTCGCATTTGACACATCTTCTACATCCAGTTCTCAGATCTGTTAAACATCTCTCTGAGTGTTTCCAAACCCCAAACAATGAACATTGAAGGGAGCTACAATATAATTGTACTAGAAAGTTATAAACATCATAAGAAAAAGAAGTAATGCACTATGAGAGTTTTAACAGGCAGAGAGGATTTCTGAGGTGATATTCCATTTGGTTTGTTCTTAAAGTTCTGATTAACACTATGTATGGAATTTTGTGTAGGATAAGCCATAGAAAATTGAGAATCACTGATGAGGGGTAAATGACAGTGGCAATGAGATGAGTTAAATGTCTCCTGAATTAATCCCTGAGGAAACAATGGTGGCTTAAATGAGAGTAGCTGTGGTTGTGGGTTAGTTTGTTCATGATACAGAATTTGCCTGAGGTTTTGTTGAGTTAACCTTCACTGATGTCAGTTTATATGAAGAATAACACTTACATAACACAAACAATTTAGATGTGTTTATGGTGATATTTAAATGAAGTTGTGTATTAGTTAGAGCTTACGTTTTATAGGGGTGGGAAATGGTGTTCATTTTTAAATTATCAGAGGGTACATGCACTCGCTGGAGAGAAAGAGACAGAGAAAAGCCATCTTAACCACCAGGCCAGGTGCTAGTCCATGTTTTAAAATATTACATATACTGAGACATATACACACTTTCTAAAATTTTTATATTTAAGTCCTTAGCGACTTAGTGTTTAAGCTAAATTTTCTGTATACTTATACAAAGAATTATTTAAGGCTTATCAAGTACTGCAATGGGCATTTCTGGTTGATATAGGCAACAAAACATGTCTGTAATTTCACATTCATCTGTATACTTTTCATCTCAATGTGAATCTTGGTAAGAAAATCAATATACTGCTTGTTGGTATTGTTTTCAGTGCAGCTTACTGCTTTGGGTAACTCTAGTTATAGAAATAGGATTCTGCTGATATTAAAGTGCTGAAGTGAAATTATGGTAAATTTTTGCTGATTTTAAAACAAAGAAATCTGTTACCTATTATGACCGCTAGACTTTAACTATACTCTGCTAAAAAATTCATATACAGAAATCTGAAAAACAAAGAGAGACATGATTAATCACCTTTCAGTAGCAGAGTTGATAAAACAGCAATTATGCAATTCAGCATTTTATAAGTTAAAGCTAATACAGAAAAACTATTTCAGGGAAAGATCTAGAAAATTGAACTTTTTCCCCTTTCTTTTCTTTCTCTCTTTCTTTTCTTATGTAAGTAATTTACTTTTTAAGCTCTATAAACATATGAACTCTTTCTGGCCAAAGAGTGTTCTTTTATGACTAGATTACTTATGTCAAAAGAATTCACCGAATAGTTAAAGATGATGTATTTGGTATGAGGCACAAGTCTTGGCTACGAAGGACAGGAGAATTTATCTTTCCTCATTTATTTGCAAGGTGTTTTAAAATAACTCTTGTGCTATTTTACATACCTATTAATCCTGGACTCAAGAGGAATAAAGTGATAGGTATAAGAATGTTTCCAAGTGAAACACCCAATCCCTTTTATCCAACTACATGAACGTCCACTTTGGACATGTAAGATTTTGAAAATCTGTTTCTAGGAAACAGCCATAATCACTGCAGTATACATGAAAGCTCTCTGTAGAGCAAAACAAACGCACTTAACAGTAAGTATTTAAGAAGGCTCAAATACCAGTATAAGAAAGTCTCGTAAAGAAATTTATCAAGCAAGGGAACGAACTGCCAAGAAACTACTCATCACAGGAAATATTTAGCAGAGGATAAATATCCATCTTTCAGGACTATTGAATACAAGGGGTAAGAAATCTGATAAAATTATCGCTTGGTTTCCTCAAAACTCGAGTATTCTAGGGAACCAGCAGTTAGCGTAATGGCTGTGTCGCTGGACTCCCACGTAGTCGACCGTGGTTCATGTCCCGGACCCGGTGGCTTAAAACTCACGCCGGGCGCTTGTGCGTGAGTGCCCAAGATCCCGAGAGGAGAATGGAGGAGAAGGGATTGCGGCGTGACCATCCCCCCTGGGGGTGATTTCTCGCTTTCTGTCTCTATGTCTCTCTCTGTCTGTCTGGCGAGCGCACGTGCCCTACAGTGAAAATCTCTCAAAAAAAAAAAAAAAAAAAACAAAACTCGAGTATTCTAGAGAAAGTTCCTTAGGTTTAAAGACCATTATCTTTTGGTTGGCCAGTAAGTCAAGTGAGTTGGCTATATTAGAAGCAGATTTTGATGCAGGGATTTGGGATACATGTAATGTACTGGGGGAGTGGTCTCAATACCAACAAAGTGAGAGAAGCAGGGAAGGAGTAAAGAAAGACGTGTCTCAGTTCATTTTAGCTCTAAACTCATCCCATGGAGAGCTTTGGAGCATAAATTGTACCATAGGGTTGCTTCCACTTTGATACAAGGGGGTAGTTTTATAGCCGCAGTTTGTATTGGTCAGTAATGACTAGGAGAGGGTGTAACCATTCAGGTGAGGTTGCTCTAGTGTGGCTGGAGGCAGTTTCCCCCGAGAAGGAGCCAGCTGTGAACTGACAGCTGTTACTACTCAGAGCGGCTGGGGGAGTGGGGGGTGGGAGGGGGTGAGGCTACTAGACCTACCTACTATTTCAGCAAAAAGATCTCCTGTATACCAGAAACAGAAAATAGGAACAGGAATGAGCTGCTCAAGAGAAGCACGGCAATGACAAGCTGACAGCAATACATGCAAACTGACCTGTGTGCTTGAGACTGTGTCACGTAGGGATGGACAGCCATATACACCACCACAGCTTTCAAGCTTGCATAGCATATGCCAGGAATGCATGCCCAAAATGCTAACCTGGATTCAATAAGAAAAAGGCTATCTTTGATTAGAATATGCAGTCGAAAAAGCAGGAACCAGCCACATTTTTAGAGTTTTAGTCCTTAAGTCGTCAGTCTCTAGTTATTTAGAAAAGAAGTAGCACGTTTGTGATCGTCCCAAGTAGTTAATCTACTATCACTTTCAGTGTATTAACCATGGGGCTATCCGGCAGAAGCAGAAGTCATGCCTTATAAAGTAAATCCCTTTGGAACAACAAAGGTGTTTCATAGCGTCTTCCATTTTGAGATTTAGGATATTCATGTGTCTCAGTTTACTCTCAGGAAGGTTGACAGGAAAGAAGGACTTTGTGGTTTGTTTCCTTGAACAAAGGGGTGCTTGTAAGGCTGTAGCCCAAACTAGGTAATGAATTGCATCATTCCCATTGTATTTTCAATAATTATTAGCCTTTTGCCCCCTTCCCCCTTACCTGATATTCCATTAGCACCTCATCAGATTTCACCCTTTGGTGCTTATCCTCAGACTGTTTTTCTGAAACTTTTAGTATAATCCTTATATAGTCCATCAAGTATTAAAAGCTGCTTTTGATAAGTCAGTTCTCTAAAAACATTTTAATTTTTTTTCTTTTTCAGTACCATAATGCTACTCTTGACTGGGAATTTTTATCGAAGAAGGAGTGCTTGAAATATGGAGGAAAGCTCGTGGGGAACAACTGTGATTTTGTTCCTGATATCACACTTATGTCTTTCATCCTCTTCTTGGGCACCTATACCTCTTCTATGGCTCTGAAAAAATTCAAAACTAGTCGTTATTTTCCAACCACAGTAAGTACCTGACGTTTAAATAATTTTTATTACATTTACACTGTATCAACAATAAATCTATTTTACAAAATGAAGGGCATTTGCAGTTCAACCTGTCTAATATAATTTGTGCATTAAAAAAATTGCATTACAGTCTATGTTTCTGTGTACATGGGTTTAACATAATTGTAGTCCATCCTTGAAAAACCTTCCAAGGATTTGCCTGCATAAGTCTGTCATAAATTCTGACTGTTGTAATTCTGAATACATTGAAAAGTAGGATGTATTCTATTTAAAAATGCACAAATGAAGCAAAAGTCCATAGTGTTTAAGCAAAAGCTCTTTTCATATCAGTCAGGAATTTTGATGTATTATAGAACGTCTTGTTCATGATCTGCACATGTGAGTATTTTAGTACTTGACTTACAGGATTGGGAGTTAAACTGTGCTGTTACACAACGATTGGTATTAGAGGCGACTGTCACCTGAGACTGACTTTCTTTCCGATAATAATAATGATGAATGCCCTGGTACGGAGACACAGATTTTTAAACTGGGCTCTGCAGACATCCTGTCTCCCATTAATATGCTTGGGTGAATTTAAGAGTAAAACTTGTGGTTGAGTGAGAGAATGCAAGATAAGAACAACTTTTAGTTAATGGTATTCTGTTTTTAAACCTGCAGAAAGAAATGAAATAAATCCCCTGCTTTACAGTTCACTCCTTAGTGTTTAGGATGTCAGTATTTTCTAGGTAATCTTGATTATACCTGATTTATATCAGTGACTTGCTCTGTCCATTTCACATCTCGTGAAATCTCTCCTCCAGTGCTTTGTGTAGGAGTAGAGCTTTACATGAGACACCCTTGATGAAATTCCTTGGAAATGAAACTTCAAATTAATATATTCACTTTCACCCAGGAAATTTTTGACTCTGAATCTTCTTATAAAATGGAAAATAAAGGGAATGTAATATCTAGGACTTAGTGGCTTAAGGAATGAAATCATCCACAAGTGATATGTAGAAAGGGGAGTTCAACTTAGTCTGCTTAAAATGGACATCACAGACTCATGTCCACAGGCAAAACGAAGCCCTCAGCCACTCTTGGTTAGGCCGCAGTGTATGTGCAGTGTGCACACTACACAACTGAGGCCTCAGGCAGAACACTTCGCAGGGAATCATTGTCTTCATGGCTCTCCACTGCTAAGACTGGGCTGTTCCCCATGTTCAGATGAACTGTTCCTGAATCTCATTTGTGATTGTGATCCTAATTCACACACTGGGAATGACCTTTCTTGATCCATATCTTCAACTAGATAAGTCGTATGTAAAACTAATTTCTGGTTCCAGATCTTTGAGGACAATTTCTTTATTAAGGATTGTCCTTCTTATTAGTTTACTGTGTGTCTTGGTTTTTATTTGTTAGATGATTATTTTGGGGAGGGTGGTATATACTGTACAAATAATCATTTTTTGGCCTATAATGTGCAAAATTGATATCTTAAATGTTAATATTTATTTTAAATTAGAATGATATCTATTTATGGAGTAAATATGATGTTTTGATATATGTATACATTGTTGAATGTTTAAATCAAACTCATGAATATATTCATAACTTTTCATAGTGATCATTTTTTTGTAGTAGGAATATTTAAAATCTTTTCTTTTTGCAGTTTTGAAATCTAGCCCACATTATTAAGTAAATTTGCCATGCTAGGCAGTGTATCTCAAAAGCGAACTCCTCTCTAAAACTTTTTCTTTGACTAACGTCTCCAGCTGCCTTCTTACTGTCACCTGAGGTAGCCACCAGTCTATTTCCTGCTTCTAGCTTGACTTTGTTAGTTTCCACATGTAATTGGAATCATGCAGATGTTCTTTTTGTAGTTTATTTCATGTAACATAACATCTTACATATTCATTGATGTCACAAATGACAGGATGATTTTCTTTTTTCTTTTTATCTTGCTATTAGGGCATATGTGCTCAGCAGAGAGAGAGAGAAGGATAGTGAAAAATCATCCTCTAGGGGGATGGCCACACCAAGTCCCTTCTCCAGTCTCCTCTCAGGATCTTGGGCATGCATGCATCCACACCTAGCATGATTTCCAAGCTGCCAGATCCAGGACTCCAGTCACGTAGTCAGTGCAATCCAGTGCCTTCACCTCCACATCGCCTGCTGGCCTGGATTTTCTTCTTTTAAAAGCTGTATTCCATTGTGTGTATATACTACATTTTCTTTACCCACTTACCTATTAATGGACATTAAGGTTGAAACCATGTAAATAGCATACATAATAATTTGAGGAGTAATCGCTATTCTGTTTTCCATAATAACTGATTAATTTACATTCTTACCAACAGTGGACAAGTGTTTCTTTTTTTAAACCACATTCTGGTTAACATTTATTACCTTTTTATGTATTTTTTTGGAGAGATTTTTGCAATTGGGTGTGTGTGTTCTCTGGAGAGACAGAGATAGAAAGTGAGAAATCATCCTCCAGTTGCTGCAATCCATTTTCTTCCATCCTCCTCTCAGGATTTCGGGCACACAAGTACACACACCCGGCATGAGTTTTTTTGTGTGTTTTTTTCATCTTTTTTTATTGTTAAAATGTATTTTTTTTTAATTAATGAATTTATTTTTTAAATTTAAATTTCTTTTATACATTCAATCACATTATTTGTCTTACAAAGTGGATATTTCAACAGGTGAACATTTATCTCTAGTACAGTTGATAAAACTACAAGATATCTTCAACAGGTAATACCACACCTCTTTGTGTCATTAATGCTTTGCCTCCCTATCCCTCCCCCAAATGTTCTTCCTCAGACCCTCCTCTTTCACACACACTATATCTGGTATTTACATCTATATACTGTGTTTCTAATCCTTTAGTCAATTAGCTTTAGTCATAGAGTGCGGACACTCGGTATATATTAAGCTGCCAGGTCCGGGATTTGAACTGGTTGTCTACATGGGAGTCCAGCGACATAACCATTATGCCATCTGCTGTTCCCAACATTTATTATCTTTTGTCTTATTGAGAATCTCTAACAGGTGTGAAGTCGTATCTCATTGTGGATTTAATTTGCATTTCCCTGATAATTTGTGATGTTGAGTATTTTCATATACATCTCGCCCATTTGTATGTCTTCTTTTGAGTTCTTTGTACATTTTAAAATAGTTCGTTTTCTTGCTGTTGAGTTGTTTTGAATTCCATATATTCTTTATATAGTAAGCCCTTATCAAATGTATAGTTGGCAAATATATTCACCCACCTGTATGTTGTTTCTTCACTCTGTTGATTGTGTCCTTTGCTGTGTGGAAGCTTCTTAGTATGATGCAATTCCATTTGTCTATGTTACTTTTGGTTGCATGTGCTTTTTGGGATCATATAAAAAAATTACAATCTAATGTTGAGGTACAACATTACATTTTTTAAATTTGAGAATAACAATAACCTTTGAGTTATCGAATTCCCAATGTCATGGAGATTTTTCTTCGTTTTCTTTTAGTTTTACAATTTTCTGTCTTACATTTAAGCCTTTAATGTGTTTTTGGTTAATTTTGTGTGTGGCATTAGGTGAAGGCCTAGTTTCATTCTTGTGCATATGGATATTTCCCTTTCCTAGTATCATGAAGAGATCGTCCTTTCTGCATTATATGTTTTTGGCATCTTTATAAAAAATGAACTGACTGTAAATGTGGGGGATATTTCTGGGCTCTCAATTTTTTTTTTGTTAGTCTGTTTGTCTGTTCTTATGCCGATTCTATGCTGATTTGATTTCTATAGTAGCAGATTTTAAAATCGGATAGCATGCCTCCAGCCTCCAGCTTTATCCTTTTTTGCTCTAAATTGCTTTGGCTAGTTGAGCTTTTTCATGGTTCCATATAAATCTTAGAAAGTGTGAGCCAAAAGAAAAAAGACAAGGAAAAGGCAAAAACTATTTGAATTGTATGGGTTGATTTGTGTAGTATGGCCATTTTAATTATATTAATTCTTCCAGTCCATGAGCATGGGATAGTTTTCCATTTGTTTGCATTTTCTTCCATTTCTTTTATTAGTTCTTAATAGTTGTCAAAGTATACATCATTCACTGCATGCTTAGATTTATTTTTAAGTATTCTATTTTATTTGTAGCTATTGTAAAATGGATTGTTTTCTTGATTTCATTTTCAGATAGTTCATTCCTGGTGTATAGAAACATTACTGACTTCTGTATGTTTGTTTTATATCCTGCAGCTGTGCTGAATTTGTTAATTAGTTCTAAGTTTTTTTTTATAGAGTCTTTAGGGTTTTTCTCTCTGTCAGATTATACCTACAAAAACAGTTTCACTTACTCCTTTTCTATTTGTATGTCTTTTATTTCTTGTACTTGCTTTGGCTACGGCTTCCAGTACTATGTTGAATAGAAGATATGAGATTGATCATCCTTGTCTTCTTTCTGATCTTGGAGGGAAAAATGTTAAATTTTCACCATTGGGTATGATGTTAAATGTGTGTCATATATGACCTTTGTTGTATTGAGGTACATTTCTTCTATACTATTTTTTTTGGAATTTTTATTATAAAAATGTTCAATTTTGTCCAATGTTTTTCTGCCTCTATTGAGATTATCATACAAACTTGCCCTTCCTTCTGTTAATGTGATGTACTACATGTGTTGATTTACGTATGAACAAGCTTTGCATCCTAGGGGTCAATCCCCCTTGATTGTAATGTCTGATCCTTTTAATGTGCTGTTGAATTTGGTTTGCTAATATGTTGTGGAAGATTTTTAAATCTAAATTCATTAGGGATATTGGCCTGTAGTTTTCTTTTCTTGTATTGCCGTTGTCTGGCTTTGTTATCACAGTGATGCGTGCATTATAAAATGAGTTCAAAAACATTTCCTTTTTTCAATATTTTTAGAAGAATTTGAAAAGGTGTCAAAATTAGTTCTTTAAATGTTTGTAGAATTCAGAAGTGTAGCCATCAGGTCTTGGTCTTTTCTTTGATGGAAGAATTTTTACTACTG